TGAAGAACAAAAGGATAGCAACTTGTCTGTTCCCCTTCCCCCAATTCCCCAGCACTGTTCCCATCCCCCCAATTCCCCAATAAAAACAAACAAACAAACAAAAAAACATGTCAGGTTTGGGTCCATCTCAGCTCAGAAATCTGCAGGCTCAGGATCAAGTCCAGACTCCTGCAGCGGCTGCCATGCCCTCACCCCGAGGCCTGCCTGTCCCCTTGTCATGCCCTCTGCAGAGAGGACCTCCCGACTGCCTGCCCACATCCGCACAGCCATACTAGGGCCTTCTGAGGTCCCCACGTGTGCTCCCAGGGCACAGGCAGACCCCGCTGCTCTGTCCGCGTTGGTTAAGGAGAGTGCCATGTGGGTGCTCCAGGCCCCAAAGTGGGGGTCTGTCCTCTAGGCAGACCAACCATCCCCTTCCTCACCAGCAGGCCCTGCCTTTTCAGTGGGTCAGTGGCCAGTCAGTCCAGTGATTGGTCCAGGAGTGCCATGTGACCAAGAGTCCTTGTTAGTGGATGGTTAGAACAGTGTGATGGGGCCCCTGGGCCCTCGGGCTTCTGTGAGGCTGGGTCCATGGCATCCCTGGGCCTGACCAGACATCGTGCAGTGGCTGCAGCTTCTCCGGCCGTCTGCCTCCAGAGCTTGCAGTATGAGGAAGCAAATGCTGCTGTTTAAGCTGCTGGCGGTGGGTCATCTGTTCTTTGCAGCGGAAAGCAGTCCTCCTGGGACAGGGCATGTGTTGGCATGTGTGCGCGTGCAGGTGGGCTGAGTGAGCCTGTGCTGCCAGTGCTGAGGCCCCTCTGTGTTCTCCATGTGACTCCCATCACTTCTAGTCTGGTTTGGGGACTTCACTGACTATGCCCCAAGTCCCATAGGGTGATGGTTCCCTTGAGGACCCCTGCAGCCACTGATGTGGGTCCCACGTGGGCTGGGCATACCCACCCCCTCCCCCAGGCAGCCTACAGCTTCTCTCCACTGAGGCCACAGTCACATCGGGCGGGGTGCATTGGTTTCAGGGTAAGGACAGAGGACCTGAGGCAGGTGCACATCTGTGTGGGATCCGAGAGAGACGCTTCCGCAGGCCCCCCCCCCCCACCACTGCAGGCACCTTCAGGTCTGCGGCCCCACCTGCAGAGCAAGCGTCAGTCACTTCCTTAGTTCTGAGGGCACAGGTCACCAGAGGGCCCCACCCCTGCTCCATGGTGCTCACCGTCCAGCGAAGGACAGGAGACCACCCCTGGGTCTCAGACACGCATGGACTTTCAATGATAGAGCTGGCACCTCGTGGGTGGGGCATGTGGACGTTGCCTAGGGAGGAACATGAGAGGACCAAGGGGTGCTGCCAGCGGTCCCCACCTTGATGGGGGGAGAGGGGGAGCATGGTGCAGACGTGTGTATGAAGCAAGCAAGCTGCACGCTTCAGCTGTGTGCACTTTATGATGGCATGTGCGTATCTCATACTTCAGCGGAGATAAAAACTTAACTGGTGAATGCCACAGAGGAACAGTCCTTGTCTCTGCAAGAGCACAATCTTGGAGGGGGACGCAGGGGAGACCAGGCAGTGAGCTTCTCTGCCGCCTGACATTCTGTCCCCTGAGTTCAAACCCACCGTCTGCCTGTAAGGGTCCTCCCTCCCACCCTTCCGTTCCCTTTGGCTTTGCAACAATGCTTTTGGGAGTGGAAAGGCCCGTTTTTCATTTTAGCTGCTTTAGTGCAATGCACGACCCTCATACAGGCATCGGAGAGTGCAAACATCCCTGCACGCATGCACACACTCCTGTCATGCCCGAAATGCTGTCCCCAGGGTCCCTGCACTCCACTTCCTCCTCTGCTACTGTTGATTTAAAACAGCCGCTTGCCTGTCTGTGAGCCTGACCTCATCCATCCTTCACCTGCCTGGCAGGTGGAAGGAGCCGAGTGTGCTGGGGACGGACAGCAAACCAACAGAACAGTGCCGTGGTTCCCCTCAGCGGGTCAGGAAGAAAGCCGGGTGACCCGCAGGCAGAAGGGCAGCCGCCCAGGAGCAAGGGGAGCCCCCGTGCTCACTCCTGTGCTCGCCTATCCCCCAAGTGACCAGAAGGGGGAGCAAAAGGGACGTTTCCGTGGAAAATTTAAACCAGCCTCTTCTTTGAATGTTTTTAATTACCAAAGTAAGGTGAGCTTGCTGGAACGCCCCAGGCAAGGTCTGTGCCCTCCGTCCCGGGTAGGCCACGCCCCTAGCGTGTGCGTTTCACTCAAGTCTAATCTCATCCGTTTCTGGCATCCTGGACACTGCCTTTAGGATGCCAGGTGAGTCCTGTCACCTTCTTGACCCCAAACCAGGTGAAGGGGCAGGAGCACCGGAGGGGGGGGGGGCGTTTATTTATGCTGTTCAGCCTCCTCCTTTGTGTGAAGACCCCTCCTCAGGGTGGTCACTGCCATGGGGCCCTAGGCATGATCCCCCTGCAGCACAAACCTCATCCTCTTTGGCAGCCCCCCAAGAGAGGAGGGAGAGCTGAGCCCTTCTCCTCTGGCATCTCAGGAGAAGGGACCCAAGAGGGAGAGGGGCTGGGGGGTTCATCTGAGCCGACAGACGATGGGGCCCTGGAGGGAGGGAGCAGGTGCCGGTGGCCGGCCCAGGATTCCACAGCAAGAGTGGGAACACTTCCCAAGGAGGGGCGGCTGCATCAGACAATGGCATCCAGAGCCTGCCCTCCCCAGAGAGCCCCTAGTTTCTTGCTGGGGAGTAGCAGCCCTCCAGCCTGGAGGGACTGTCAGTCCAGCTGCCTCCCTCCACCCAGAAGTGCATTTCCGGGGGGGTGGGGACCCACTGAGTGGGGAGGGGTCAGTTCATCTGCCCACAGCAGAACTGGGCTGCCCGCTCGTCACAGAGGTGGCCACTTGCCCTCTCATCTCCTTCGTCTTGCCTTCTTTCCCACCTGGAAGACCCCAACAGCCTCCCAATAAGTCCCCTTTTGGTTAAGTTACTCAGAGTCACTTTCTGTGGGTTGGCTGTGACAACAGAATGATAACTAACACAGAAGAGCATTATGTACTAATCCCCATGCTCCCAATCCCAGCAAATGTGGGCTAGCAGCAAGAGGAATGAGACATGGTGCCTGCCAACCAGGGGACAGATGCTGTCACAGGTCATGTGCTGAGTCCTTGGGGTGCAGGATGAGGCACTGATTCCTGGAGACATGAGGCAGAGCCCCGGGGGTCCACCTGTGTTCACCCTGCCACCCCCTCGGGGATGTGTCCTGATGGAGGGGCCACATGACCGCCTCCCTCTCCGTTGCCACCTCAAACTGGACAAGTCACCTGGATTGAGACACTTCTCTGTGTGAGTTGGACAGTCCAGTCCCTCACTGGGGGGTCCCTGAGGGAGGACAGGGCGAAGGCCTGCCAGCTGGTGGGGCTGAGACAGCTGACTCTGCCGCCCCCCCGCCCCACCACCAGAGGTTTCATGACCCTCAGCTGACGAGTAAGAGCAACGCTGCAGACACTGGGGGTGGTTGGCCTCCTCTCCAGGTAAATCTCATGCAGGTCGTCCCAGAGTACAGGCTGTGCAGACGAAGGCTGCCGCATTGGGGGCCCATGGGCCAGTGAGTGGGTTCCTACAGGGGTTTTGCACCAGGCCCCTATGTGCCAGGGGCTGGCCACTTCTGTCTGCTCCAGCTTTGCCCAAAGGAAATAAGAAATGAAATCAAAATTGCTCTTTTGTTATCAACCCAAATAATAGCCGATACAGCTTTTAGTGCTGAGTGCTCTGATCCTCTCAGGGAGGGCATCACTCACATGTGCTCGCAGTTGGCTTTGGCTTATGCGAGGCAGGCTGTATGCTGGGTTTTATGCCAATCCATAAAACAGGACCCCAGGGGGCAGGAGGCACATTCCTGGAGAGACCTCATGCGGGGCATCAACTCCTGTTCCACCCACACGCCTCACACCTGCAAACCAGCCACAGCCCCAAAGGGTAAGAACCTGGAACACAGCTCTGCTGGGAGCGAGGCAGTTGGGCCTCCACTTGGAGGGTCCACTTTGAGAAGGGGCTGTTACCAGGATCCCCGGTCACAGGTTTTGTTACCTGTGCCTCTTTCGACGACGTCAGAACCACCGCTCCATTTTAAAGGCTCAGCAGTGGGACCGTCTTCCCACCATGGCCGCAGCTGCTGGGCCTCCGAGAGGGCACGCTTCTTCACCTGTTTCCCGAGTGCATGTGTTCATTTCACCTTATTAACTGTATTTTCAGATCTATGTTTTGTATTGTAAAGTGATCGAGGCGTTAAAATCCATCCCTGTGATTATGAGTTTGTCCTTGTTCTTGACACTCAAACATTTTGAATCGTGTCTTTGTTGGTCTGTAGCCTCAGAGCAAGAGGCCCGTGTGCTGAGACCGTCGTCATCGCACCTGCCATTTCTTAACGGCGACTTGGCTTTACTCTCTTTGCCTTGAATTCCTCCTTGATCCCCCAACCCCCCTCTGCCCTCCAGCAGAACAAAATAAAACCCATATATATAGAAAGGAGGCTGGAAAAAAACTCACCAGGACATCAGCAATAATTCTTTGAATTGAAAAGATGTAAGGATTTTCTTCTTCCATTTTCTGCAATTTCCAAAATTTCTATAGTGACCGTGTACTACCCTTTATCATGGAAAAGCAATACTTAACAAAATAAAATGGAGAAATTAGACTT